GGGAGTACTTTTATTACATCCTTAGAGCTTTTTATTTTTGAGACAGGGTCTCACTGATCAGGTTGCTGAGGGTCTTGCTAAGTTGCTCAGGCTGCCCTTGAACTTGAAATTCTCCTGTCTGAAGCTCCTGAGTCATTGGGATTATAGGTGTGTACCATTACACCTGGCTAAGTGCTACTAGTTTTTTAAAGGAAGTGTTATAAATCTTTCAGGTATATAATTTTAGCTTAAAAAAGTAATTAGTGTAAACATTGTGACTTCTGGAATATCTGAAGTTTGAGAGTTAAGCAAAGATTGTCTCAGCTTTTCATATGTGCCAAATTCCTCTGTGAATATGGGCACTGGAAGCCAAGTGATGCTCTTGGACAAGGTTCCCATGTTTTACCTGAACAAAGAAATGATCTTGACTTCAGAAAAGCCATTGGAGATGGGCCCCATGTTCAGATTTGAAAGTGTTTTGGGACCAATGAAACAGCAGAAATGCTTTCTTTTCCCAAAAGTGTAAAGCGGGTCATGGGGCTGGTGCTAAATTTAGATTGTGGAATTAGCACACATTGTTAAGTTATGCTCTATTAACTGTGCAGCACAAGCAGCTGTTTTGCAGAACATTGCAAGTTAAACTGCAGGCCGTTGATGGTAACTCAAGAGGAGGGGAAATTTTTAAAACCAGCTAAATCAATCATTGCTTTTTAAGAACTTGAGCAAAGGTTAGCCCCCTGAGTTTTTTGCAGTTACACCCTTACCAGTGGTTTTTTAGAGGGAATGATCTATAGGTGTTTGTGGTGTTGAGATGCTAGCTCATTTGTAATGTCTTGCTGACAGATATGTACAGAGCCCTCTGATGAGTAGCATTAACAAACTAAAAAGCAAAAAAAAAAAAAAAAATTACAATTATTCAAAAACCTGCTTTTGGCTGGCAAAGGTAAAATTAACCCGTGAGAACATAACAACAGGCCTCTTCCTACTAACCCCCCAAAACCTACAATATTAAAAATCCAAATAAGGTAATTTAAAAGAAACAGGGTTTTCAGGGCTGAGGACCAAGGTGCCCATCAAGGTTTTGCATCTGGAGGTTTGAAAAGTCCTACTTTCCGAAAATATCTGACAAGGAAGGGCACAGTGACTACCGTGATGCTGATCCTCACTGGTGCAAACAGCTTGTGGATTGCGTAGGCCACCACAAACGTGCTGGTGCTGGTTGCCACACTGGACGGTACCAGTGACTCTTGAAATCCGAGTTTGAGCAAGATCGCAGACATGTCTACACCACTGGAGGGGAGGCAAAACAAAACACAACTATAGCAAGGGTTTAAGTTAATAAATTTGTTTGGCTGTAAAATTTATCACATTTTTAAAGATCCTATAAAAGTAGCTGGAGGAATAAAAAGTTAGGAATCAAGTTCTCATTCATATAGGATCTCACATGACATTAAAACATATACCTATTACCATCAGAAACCTTACCTGGAGACCACCATGTAAAACAGCCCCACGGAGATGAGTGAGATCCCAATGTGCAGAGATATGCCGATTATACCGTATTCTTGAAAGACCTTTTTCAGCTGCTGTGACTTGCTTTGCTTTCCTTCTATGCCACCTGTGTTGCTGCCTGTTGCCTCAGTGGCTCTGTTGGGGTCCTGTGCATACATATACCAAAGAAGGGAGACTAGGTTGGTGGTCATCACTGGCTTGTATACTCACTCCTTCACCCCCTAAAATGTCAGTTATTCTCTTCAGTGAGCTAAGACTAAGTTTCACTTAGTCTCTGTGCAAACAAAGGTTACCTTCTAGGTATGGCAGACAGAATGATGGACCTAAAGATGTCCAAATCCCAATCCCCAACACCCATGAACCTGTCTCTTTACATGGCAAAAGAATTTTGTAGGTGTATTAAAAATCTTGAAATGGAGAGAGAATCCTGGATTATCGAGGTGGACCCAATGTCATTACAGGGTCCTTGTAGGGGTTGGTAGGAGAGTCAGTGCCAGAGAGGGAGAGGGGATGGCAGGTGGGATCTGGAGAAGCTATGCTGTTGGCTCATGGAGGCCAGGGCCACAGCCAAGGAACTAGGCAGCCTCTAGAAGCTGCAAGAGGCGGTAAATGGATTCTCTCCTGGAGCCTCCCAAAGGGACCAGCCTTGCTGACCCCTTGACTTTAGCCAGTGAGACCCATGTTAGATTTGACCTCTAGCAGTGATTGCATGTGTCTGTTAGAGCAGCAAGAGTGACTCCTGTACTTCAGGACTTGTTTACTTGGGGGACATCAGTGATACTCCTTTAGGTACTTTCTCTGAGCCAGGTGGTCCTCTGCTGTACTGCACCATATCCATTTGGTTTCCTTTCATCCTCCTGGCAGCCTGCTGAGGTAGACACTACTGTTTTTCCCACCTTACAGAGGAACAGCACAGTCACTGGCCCAAAGTCATTAAGATCAGAGCCTAGGTCACCTGATGGTCATGTTGGGCACATGACCACCATGCTGTACACTACTGAAAAAGAACAGCGGGGCAAAAGCTATGGCTTATTTACTCCAGGACCAAGACTCACACCTCAGATCTGAAACAGGGAGGGTCCAAATTCTTGGACAATTGACTAGGATGTGTACAGAAGTCTGTATGAATGAATGTGGCATCTGTTAATACTTATGGATCACCTACCAGGCCTGGAGAAACAAAAACCAACCCATTCAACAAAAAAACACAACAGAGAAACAAACCATGCCTGTGTTGGAAAACGCAAACCTCAGTAAGAGAGCACTTTTAACCAAGATTCATCAGTAGTCCCTAGAGCTGGTCCAGGCAGGTGGCGAGCACAGCCTGTGAGCTTGCTCTGCTTAGAGAGCCTGCAGCTGCACTGCTTCCCCCCTGTTTTAGAGCATGCCACAGCTGAGCACACTGCAAGGCAAGGGGAAGGAGCATGCCAGCCACAGTGCCCAGGAGATGGGGTCAGGCTCTCAGATGGCAAAGAGGCATGGACATGATATGGGTCTTACAGAAGTCTCCAAACCCGCCCCCTGTGCCTGCACAGCCCTGGCAGCCAGGTGTTGGGACTTCTGGCCTACTCCAGAATTGCCCTGGCAGCCAATGCTTGAGCAGGGCCTCTCGCTGATCATGTCTGGGGTGAGGCTCCAGATGCTGTTTCTCTCAAAGGCTTCTGTCTGTGGACACTGCAGAGTAATGAGGATCTAGGGAGCTTTTCTATGCGGTGTGGTATTACAGAGGTAGGGTGAGGCTTGGTACTGGGCTTTGTAATTCTAAGGGGATCAGTCTGGCATACTCCTCTGGCTGATCTTCTCTCCTGCTCACCTCAGGACAGAAGGGGAGGGTCCCACTGCTTTTCCATTTCACATATTTTAGGTGGAAATGAAAATGTCACCTCCTCCAAAGAGGTCCTCTGTTGCCACCTTCAGATCTTTATCAAATATCACCCTCTTTGAAACTAACAGGAAACTGTTAATCCTGTTGGAATGTCTCATTCCTACCATTCATTGTCTTGCAATGTAGCTGGAAGTTTGGCTGCCTTTTGATTTTTCTTTTATGGCCAGAAGGCTTTTTGCCAAACTAGAGGGTATAAACAAAAGGGCCCTCCACAGACACACTATGCTCAGTCTGGTGAAAGGATAGACTGGCACATAATTGAGTTTCATTGGGCCAAGTGTCAAGGATGGGAATTGAAAGGGGCTTTCAGCCACCATCGGTTTAATAGCAGGTTTAGCCCTGGAAGGGCCTGTGGCTTGCCATCCTATCAGCTCTGGCAGCTGTCCCATCACCACAAGAGGCAGTAGGGCTTGTTTATCAGAACAAGTCGACCTCTCTCGGCAACCATTGTGACTGGGGGTGCAAGGCTGGTCAGAGACCTTAAGGACAGGGGGAAGCGACATGTGCTGACCAAGCAAATGGAGGCTGGTAACCACTTTCCTTCCTTCTCCTCAGAGGTGGAAAGTTCTGGAAAATTGTCTTCCTTTAGGAATGGTCCTTTTTTTGCAGGACATGGAGGGCACTGTGCATTATTTTTCCTTGCCCTCATCAGGGTCCATACTCATAATGCTTTCATATCCACATATATATGATGCTCCCTTCCCTGCCCCAATAATATTAAAGAACAAAATTTGTATTAGAGAAGGGGCAAGAAGGTTGGAAGAATGAACCTAGGACCCTGCCTACAAGTTGACATCGTATTTTGGACTGACACTTATTTTTATTCATTGGCTAAATTGTAATGACACTATATTGCATTTATTTTGTACCAGGCACTGTTCTGAATACTTTGGAAATATGGATTCATATAATCCTTATCACACATCTGTGAGATAGGCATTCCTGGCACCCCCACTAAACAGAAGAGAATCCTGAGAGAGGCTGCATAACTTACCAAGGATCACACAGAGATGAACTGTCAAAGCTGGGACTCAAACCTAAAGTCTGGTTCCAAGGCCTTTACAACTGTACTGTGTTCCTTGCATATTCATGAGCATCTTCTCAGTGCCAGGCACTGTTCCAAGTACAGGGGACACAGCAACAAACAAAACCCACCAGGAGCCTATGGTCCAGCAGGAGGAGAGGGACAACAAACAAAAGTGAAATACCAGGGCTGGCAGAGGTGACAAGTGCTATGGAGGAGCACCTGGCAGGATTCCTGGTAGGAAAGCTGCAAGTTACAATGAGGCCAGAGCTCCAGAGGAGAGGACAGGCTCAGAGGGCGAGTCATCTGCCTAGGCATCCTGTCCCCTCCCTAAGGGGTCAGTGGCCCATTCCTGCAGGCTTTACATGAGTGTGGATCATATTAACTGGAAAAGGCTGGTTTCTTCTGTGCTTTACTGCTCCCTTTAACAGAGCTCCTAACTACAGGCAGAGGTGGGCATGTCTCTCAGGCACTTAATGAAATGCCTGATATATTTTGAGACCCCAGCTGGGCTTAGCCTTCTTGCTTCCAATGCATGCAGCTAGAAGCAGTGGAGGAGGGGTTGGCTGGGCTCCATCCAAAGCCAGACCCTCTTTCTCACCTGCTCCAGGCCATCCTGGACAAGGGTCTTCTCAAGGAGATCAATATTTTTTTGTCTTAAACTACAGTTTGGTTCTACCCTGCCTTGACTTCACCCATCTATTAGAGAGCTGGACAACCAAGGACAGATCATAGGCCCCTGGGGGGAGATATATATATTTACTGTGATTTTAACAATTGCCAATGTTAATCTAGGAGATACCAGATGCCAGGAATGAACATTATCTCATTTTACATTCACACGCTATGAAGTGTGAACTATTAACATCCCATTTTACTGGTGATGAAACAGGAAAGTGAAAGCATTTAATCCAGGCCACATTCAGTGCTCCTGTGTGAACACAACCCTATCAGGAAAGGGCTTGGGCTTGGGCTAGGGATGAGGATGATGGAGCTGACAGAACAGACAAGCAAAGGCCATTCCAGATGATGAATGCAGAGAAGCCTGGCCCCACGGGTTAAGGGGCAGCCAGTGGAGGCCCCTGAGGCATCACCGGTGGTCAGGGAAGGATTCCTGAAGGAAGGGATGCCTAGGTTGAACGATGAAGAATCAACAGGAGGGTTGTGACTCAGTGGTAGAGCACTTGCCTAGCATGTATGAGGCATATATTCAGCACTGCATATAAATAAATGAATAAAATAAAAGCCCAGCAACAACTAAAAAAGATAAGTAAGTAATAATAAAGAATCAATAGGAGGCAGCCTGGTGTATGCGGTGGATCCCAAAGACTGTGCTAAGGATTTAGAGGCAAGGCCCTTGTGCCATGCACCAGGCAGGAGAGGAGAGGGCAGGGGAGGATGTTTCTCCACCTGGAGGACAGGCTTAGAAAGAGCATACGCCAAACAAATCCCACTGCTACTTACTAGAAAACTATGGAAAGTTCAGGACGGGCTGCCCCAGTGCGAGGCACCCTGCTCAGGCAGGCCTGCATTAGCCCATGGAATTTCCCCCAGACTCTTGTCTGGAAAGTGCTAATTTCAGCCCTTGACAGGTCAGCAATGCTGGGTCAGGCATACAACCCAGAGTGCAGAGTTAGAGGCATCCTGATGAAGGACTGGGGCTCTGGGTCCTGACTTGCTATTCCTGTATCTCCAAACGTCACTACTACTTTATTAGAGACCCACTAAAAGAAAAAGAAAAAAAATAAATAAAGGAAAGCTGTTCTGAATGGAAACTAGTTTTCATTGAGCATCATGCAAGGCAACCAGAATAAGACACAGTTCCACACCATGGATTTTCTGCCTGAAGAAGATTGCTCTTCTAGTTAGATAAAAAGGGTGGAGCAGCAAGCTAAGGAGGTGTTAGATAAGGAACTTTCTCCTTGGCCAGTGCTCTAGTGTGGAGGCCTGAATGGGACTTCAAAGGGGCAACACCTAAGGCCACATCAGGAAGTTCACAATAAGTCTAGGCCCCCTAAGATTCTCTTGTTACACCACTGTCCTGGTTGAACGCTTTGGACACTGGATCTCTGCTGGGCATTGTGTGACCTTGGGCAGGCCACTAATACCTCTCTGAGCCTCAGTTTCACCTACTGTCTATTGGGAAGAGCCATTTCTTGGTTTATAGGGATGTGGGGACTCAGGGACCCCTGAGGTGATCGGTTTTGGGGAGCTGCAAGTGCAAATTGTCCTTGCAGCGGAAGTGGCCTGGCCCTGGCACAAGGCTTCTATCAGCAGGGGATCGGAGGTCAGGATGAGGTGGGAGGCTTACCTGGTGGACACGGCAGTCCCCACCAGCGGTGCGCAGCAGCCGGGCGTCAGGCCCAGGCCTTAACAGGGCCAAGGCCAGGGGCGGCGGGGGACAGCGGGTGGTGGCGCCCAGGAGCCGGGTGGCATGAAGCCGGACCCGGGCACCCATCCTGCCCGCCGGGAGCAGCAGTGCCAACAGCGCAGCCATAGTGCGCGGTTAGGCGCAGGTGCCGACTCTACCGACCCGGGAGGAAGCAGAAGGCCGGAGCGAGGAGGGCGGGGCCAGGGCCGCGCGCCCTTCCCGGTCCTCCCCCACGTGCTGGGGTCGGGCTCCGCATGGGCGGGGCTGGAGGCGGGTGCTCTTCCTTCCTGGCTCCACCCACTCGTCCCGCCTTCGGGAGAAGT